GCGGGAGGGCTGGAAGATTGGGTGCACGTGAAGTCCGGTGAGCGCTTCCTGCAGGTTCGGTTGGGACCCTTGCTGTTCTTGGATTCTTGCAACATTTTTCCCGCTTCCCTGGACGCGCTGATAAAGGATCTAGCCTCCACCGAGAGCGATCCGGCCAAAGCCTTCCTGCTTCTGGCGGAAAGGCATCCGCTCTTCAAAGACGCCGAGCCTCGCGTCTGGCAGCTGCTGCTGAAGAAGATTCCCATGCCGTTCGAGAAGTTGACGGGCCCGGAGTGCTGGTCAATGCCCGCGCTGATGCCGGACACGAGCTACTACGACAGCCGCCTGTCCGGACTCAAATGCAGCGACGCTAAATATGAAGATATTCGCGAAATCATAGACTACTTTGCCTTTGAGAGTTTTGCGGAGTTCCATGACGCGTACCTCCACACTGACATGGCGCTCGCTGACATTCTCGAGGCGTACCGCGAAGCTTTTTTCCAGCACTACGGTCTGGACCCGGCGTGCTACGTGACGGGAGCTTCTGCTGCTTGGGACGCTATGCTAAGGCGTGCGTTAGCAAGCAAGAGCCGCTGGGGATCATCCACAGGCAAGAGATCTACGACCTGACCCGTGCCAGCGTGCGCGGCGGGCTGTCAAATCCCTTCCAGCCTTACGCTCGGGCGAACAACGCCGAGATGGGAGAGGAGTTCAAAAGCTGCGAGCCCGTCAGTCACATCTGCAAGTTCGATGTGAACTCGCAGTATCCAACGGTCATGTCCCGCCCTCTGCCAGCTGATGGGGGCAGGCTTCTGGATCTGCCCGCCGAGAAGAAGCAGCGCCTCAAGCTGCTCTACGAGCTCTTGCAGAACACCGACTTCAACTCCAAGGACTACGTCTTGACGCGCCTGGTGAAAGTGACCTACTACGTGCCGCCTGAGGTCCACGACTTTGTTGACTGGGCTCCTCCAGCGCGCATGCGAGTTGACACCTCGGAGCTGAGCGAGTACTCGCAGGAGCTGATGCGGCGCCGCGGTTGGGACAAGGCGCCGGGCAACCTGAAGCTCATGCCCTTTCTCGGGCCTCACGTTGAAGAGTCTCTACAGCTCCGCTTGCTGAAGTTCTACATGGAGACGTTGCAGGTGCGCGTCTGCGAGGTTCACGCCGTCGTCGTCTTCAAGTGCAGACCCTTCATGCGCCCCTTCATCGAGGAGTGCTATGGGAGGCGCCTCGCCTTGAAGCACAGTGGCCGCAAGCTGCAGGCCAACGTGTTGAAGACGACAATGAACGTGCAGTTTGGCAAGAGCGTTCAGAACCAGGAGAAATTCCGGAACGCCGACATCTTTGTAGATCGCCAGCGCTACGAGCGTCGCATGGGAGGCCCTTTTGTTGTCGACTTCAACTCCTATCCCTCCTCTGCGGGCTTCCTTGGTCTCATCTTCAAGAAGAGAGCGAATGGGATGCTGCTGAAATCCATGCCACAGATCGGTTCTTTCGTCCTCGACGAGGCGAGGCTGGACATCATGAAGTACCACTATGCCATGCGTAAGATCTTTGACGGTGGTTTGGGCAGGCCTGTGGACCCAGACTACGGCGTGGAAGAGCGCTCGCGAGTGCGAGCCATCTACACCGACACAGACTCCGACATCGTGCAGATCTTCTCCGAGGAGAAGCCAGCGGTCGTGCTGGCACGCGAGAACCTAGGCGGGAGCAGCCCCTGTTTCTGGGATGTGGGCGGCGACGTCACAGAGGCGGAGACCTACCTGCTTGGATTGGGAGCGAGTCCGGAGGCTGCGAGGATGGCCGCGGAGCGTCGCGGCGAGCTGGGTGGCTTCGGCGACGAAGGAGCTCCGTTGACGATCGTCGAAGTGGTGGCTCTGGGTCCAAAGTGCTACAGCGAGTACCTCTGCGACTCTCGGCAGTACTTTCACAAGTTCAAGGCCAAGGGCTTTGCGAAGCAGCACCGCAACCTGCTCGACCACGAGAGCTATCGCAGAGCGTGGATGGACGGGCGCCCCGGCGCTGCGGTGACCTCGTACCACTTCCAGTCCCGCAATCATGTCGTGAACTTGGTCGAGGTGCAGAGGCTTGGCCTCACGGCGTTCACTGAT